TAAGAATGTCATCTAAATAAACCAGGACCCCCTTAAATAGGTGCTCCCTTAGTACATCATTGATTAATTGCATAAATACTGCAATTATTTGTAATCCCCCTTGTAATCCAAATGGCAAGACTTTGAATTGGTAGCACCCCATTGGGCAGTTAAATGCGGTCTTCTATTCATCCCCTTCCTTAATTCTCATGCGATAGTACGCTTCCCTTAGATCTAGTTTAGTAAAAAAATTCCTTTTGAGAGGTGTGATAACATGTCCTTCATGAGGGGTAGGGGTATAGGTTGGTTTCACTGATTGTATTTAGGAGCCTATATTCCACGCATAAGCATAAAGAGCCATCCATCTTCTCTCTAAAGAGGACCGGAGTGTCCACTTTTGGCTTGGCAGTTTTGATGAACCCCCTTTCTAGGCTTTTCTTTATGAATCTTTCCATTTCCTTCTTCTCCTTTGGGCTCATGGAGTATAATCTGGGCTTTGGGAGTTTTGCTCCAGGCTTGAATTCTATGGCACAGTCCGTGGGTTGGTGGGGGGAAGCTCATCCAAAAACTTCAGCAAGATCTCTGTATTCCTCTGGTATTTCTGGTAGCCCCTTTTCCTCTCCCATGGATGCTTTTTCTGTTCTTAATTTTGGTAGATCCCCTTGGGGTTTTAAGTCCATAGGATCCCCTTTCGGGAAATTGATTTCTGCCATCCTCCAATTCACCCAGGGGTTCCATTTCTTTAACCATTCCATCCCTAGGATCATCGGGCATTCCATGCCTGGGGTTACTACAAACGTTATGTCTTCCTCATGTTTGCCCAGGGAGAGGTGGATTGGTAAAGTGGCTAGGGTAGCTGGCACCCCCCTGGCTATGGACTCATCTAACTGGCCAAATGAGATTGATTGTTCCAGTCTCCTCGAAGGAATGCCCAGGTTGCCCACTAGCATCGGGCTAATGAGGCAGCGGGTGCAGCCAGAGTCTAATAAGGCTTTCACCTTGACAGCTTCAGGCATGGGGGAATTAATAAAGTCATTGTCTTGAGGATGGGGGTTCACCCTCTGAGCTGTCGTCTGAGGCATCCACCAGGCCTGCGGTGTAGGCTGGAGTTCTTTCCCCCCCGATGAGCAGAGGTAGGGGATTCCACAGAGGTAGGGGATTCCACAGCCTCCATCATTCTCATGGGAGGTTCTTTTGGCTTAGCTGGAGACTTCCCGGATTTGCTGGCCGGTGATCTGTCTGGGTTGTGCTGGGGGGCTTTTGAGCGGCATTCTACAGCCTGATGCCCCTCTCTCCCACACTTGAAACACCCCGTTTGCTTCTTGGCCATAGCCGATGGCTTCACTGGTTCATGTGTCGACTCAAGCGGTGAGTGGCTCCATTGTTTTCCTCGCCGGTGCCTCTTCAGTAGGTCAATCTCTGCTTCCTCTGCCAGGATGTACCATTCGTCAAGTTGGTGTGGGTCCCCTCGGGGCAGGCAAGCATCATATAGGTCGTAATTTAGTCCATCTTTGAAATGGCTAAGGAGGATGTCTTCTGGCCAGTTCAATTTGCTGGCAATGGCCCGGAATTCTTGCGTATATTCGACTACTGCCTTGCCTCATCGTTTTGATCCTTTCGCGGGCTTTGCGATCAGCCAGGGGGTCCTCAAATTGCCTTCTCAGAGAGGACATGAAACAGTTGAGGTCGTTGAGCTCTGGGGCATTGGAATCATGCAAGTTTACCACCCAATCTGCGGCCGGCCCGTCCAGAGCAGATTGCACGATCCTGATACGGGCTTTGTCACTGGGAATGTGCCGCCCGTATTCCTCCATGTAGCTGAGGACTTGGGTCAGGAAAAATCCCAAGTGTGTTGGCTCCCCCTTGAATCTCACATCCAGTGGCGGGAGTCTTTGAATGGATCGATGCCTTCGCTGTCGGTGGTATTGCCTTCCATCCAGATCACCACCTGTGGGTCAGCAGGGAGTGGGGACTACTAGATCAGCGGATGTCCCGGGGGCTGCAGTTTCCACTTCCCCCTCGGTGTCTCTCAGTTGTGGCTCCAGGAGTTGGTGTGGCAGTAGGGCTCAGAATTCTCCTCTCCTATGGAACTGAGGGTTCTCTTCATCAAGTCGATAGCTTTCTCTAGGATCCAGCTCGAGTGCGGTGCTTCCTTCCTCTTCCTTCCTCTTCGCTTGCGTACAGGGATTTCCCCATCTCCTGCTTCGATTCTGGTTGGGTGGACCCCCATCTCAGGGTCACCTTTCTTGATTTCTTTTCCCACTCGCCTTTCTTTCCAACGCCCATTGACTACCGAGGTTTGTGGTTGCGCATCTTCACCACCTCTTCTCCTGCGGAATCTGACTTCTCAGATCCCGACATCTGGCACGTTTTCAGTCGGGGCAGCGCCCCCCTCTCCGGGGAGCTTTCTCCCTTCCCTGCTCCATCGTCTGACATGGTATTTTTTGCAAAGTCCCCGGGCAAGGTTCTCCCTTCCAGGTGGACTATTTTTGCAGATCCTGTCTAATGTAAGGACCCACCTCACTTTACATCTTAATACAGAACTCTTGGAATATCTTTTCCAACAGGCATATTTATTAAGAGAAAATGATTGTAGGTGTGCTAGACAGGATCTGAGGAATTCTCTCCCACCCTTCAATGTTTTAAGTGTTTTCAAGCAGCCCCCCACCCCACAGTTCTTCTGGGCGGCGATCCCCCTCCTCTCTTTTCCCAGACTCCAGGCGCTGCATTGTTCCCCCCCTTTTCCCTTACTGCCGGCAAAAGGGAGACTTCAGAGAGGAGTAGATGAAAGGTTATGGCCATATTGTTATGGTCAGTCCTCTTGGTGAGAATCCACATTCAGTCCCTTTGAAGTTTAATGAAGGAAGTGAGAGCCATAAAACCCCTTTGCTCATCCCCCTTTCCCTTCGTAGTATGACAGAATCCAGAGAGAGCAAAAATGGGGTTTTCCATAGTAGATAACTAGAAATGAAATATAATTGGATTCTGACATCGACAGTATTTTAAAATTTCCATTTCATCCTGAACCCTAATGACCCCTCTTGTCCACCTTTAAAAATAAAGCCTTTTGTTCCAGTAATATCCTATATTCTTATAAGGCATTCTTACTCCAGAGAGGTGCCAGTTAACTGCATTGTCTCTGTTCTATCTGAGCTCTCCATGTCATGCTCCCATATTAGACCAAAAAGTGCCATATGTCTTAATGTTAGATCTATTCTATTAGATCTATCCTCTTTTGCAAACATTGAATTCTTATCATTTTGATAGATAACAGATAACAGTTAAATATATATTTTTTCCCAATAGTCCTAAAAATAATAATCACAACAATATAATATTTCTTTTCTATCCAATCATTCTGGTTGTCTTATCATAGATCCTGTTACAGTCTTTATTTTAATTTGTTTCTAAATATTCTTACTGGTTAAGATTTTCTCAAAAATTAATTATATTTAAAAATTTAACTCTATTTTTCCATATAAACCATCTCGCACTTTTACATTCAGAAATGTAGGAAAAAAAAAGAAAAGCAAGAGTAAAGAAACATTAAAAATAACATACTACTTAAAATAACATACTACTTAAAATATATATCCCTCTTAAGCTAATATGTATTTATTTCCTAAATTTCTTATTCTTTTTAACCATAATTAAAAATATCTTTAATCTTTAAACATTCCATTTAATACATCTAGTCCTTTAACTCTTATTCAAAACATTTTTATCCATTATAATTTTCTTAAATTCGATCATATTTAAATATCTAAAACATTTCCTTTATCTAAGTCATTTCAACTTTTTTATATTACTCATATCAAGAAAAAGAACAAAAAAGGGGAAAAGGGATACTATATTATATTTAGAGAATTCATCCCTCTTAGAGTGACATATATATTCCAAAACTTTTCTATTTCTTTAACCATATTCAAACAAATGTTTCTTTTTTAAGTATTCTCTCTGGTTAGTCCCATCATCTATTTTCTTAGTTTCCACTTCAGTCTTTTTCTTTTGCCCAGTGTCTTTCTTAATCAATGTATTTTGCTGAATCAAAAAGTTTTTCTGAATGTTCGTAAATGTTGTTGTAGATATAAAAAGTAAATCAGATGAAGTGTCTTTGTACGGGACTTCTGCCTTTCCATGTTTGTTGGAAATCTTTTTCTTTTTCTTTCTTTCCGCTTCTCTTATCATTTCCTTTCTTTCCAATGTTCCTCACATCTCTACAGTCCATTTTATCCGATCTGTTTTCTTGTCCTCAGATTTATTTTGTAGTCTTAAGGGATAAGTTGTTTTTTCCAATTCTTATGAATTTTTCCCCACTAGGATTAAATCATGTTTCCTTGTTTTGTTAAGTTCCATCTTTAAGCCTCTATTCTCAATTCTATATCCATTTATCTGTTTTATCTGCTCCTTCTCTGTTGTTATTTTCTGGGAATTTTTTTGTTGTAGAATTAATTTGGAAATAGATTGATTTGTACAATTTAAAGCTCTATAAAACAAAATGATAAGTTAGCAGCAGCTTGGAATATAAGTGGCTTTTTGTAGCTGTATTCTGCTTCTGTAATGATCAAAGGAGATGTCTCTTAAAACCTATTGGCTCAATAGTTATATGAACTCACCTGTGATACTTGATGAGATTAAATCCCTGATGTTTTTTTAAATTTTAGTAAAAGAGAAAGATAAGCCCTCACTTTTAAAAATCATGTGAGCATAACTTGTCAAAAGTATCAAAATTGCTTCCATTTGAATAGCTCACTTTGACTTCAGTAAAAAAGTTTAGGTTTTAGATTCAGATTTAGATTCATGCCAGGAATCTTAATGCAAACCAGGGGGCATAGTTGGCTACTTGGTTCTGTGCAGCTACAACAAAATGATTCACAACTAATGATCTGACAATTATGCAATATCAGCACTTTTTTACATGCTTGTTAAAGCAAGGCCTTATGTAATACATGGCCTTTTGATATTTTCATAACCAAAAGACTTTCATTCCAATAAATCTTTGTTTGTATTGTTTTCCACAGGTCACTCATTGGCACAGTCCCTACTTCTTTGCCTATTTTCCTACTGCCAACTCTTTCCCGGCTCTTTTGGCTGATATGTTATCTGGGGGCATAGGATGCATTGGATTTTCATGGGTAAGTTCTATGTGGGCATGAAAGAACTAGTTCCTAGCAGATACAATTTGTCAGAATCCAATTATAATTCATCTCTAGTTATCGACTATGGAAAACCCCATTTGTGCCCTCTCTGGATTCTGTCATACGATGAAGGGGGAGGGAGATGAGCAGAGGGGTTTTATGGCTCTCACTTCCTCCATTTCAACTTCAAAGGGACTGAATGTGGATATCACCAAAAGGACTAACCATAACAATGGGGCTATTACCTTTCATGTACTCCTCTCTGAAGTCTCCTTTCCCGGCAGTGAGGAAAAAGGGGTGGGAATGTAATGCCTGGGACTGTCGCTGGAAGAAGGGGGTGATGGGGTGGGGCTACTGGGGGACCCCTTAAAACCTTGAATGGGAGAGCTTGGACCCCAAGTCCTGTCTAGAATACCTGCAACCATTTTCTCTTAATAAATGATGCCTGTTGGAAGAACTATTCCAAGTGTTCTGTCTTCTTAAGATGCAAAGTGGATGCATCTTAAGATGCAAATCCTTACACAATTACTACATGTGTTTTTATATTTCAAAAGTATTAGATATCTAGGGATTTTTGAAGATATTTTCTTCACACAGAAGTCACAGAGGGGCTACATGGCTTTCAAAAGTCTAGTTTTCATTGAAGTGGTAGATTATAGGAGAGCTCTACCACTTCAATACAGATGGTCCTCAACTTATGACAACAACTGAGCCCAAAATTTATACTGCTAAGTAAAAAATTTGTTAGGTCAGTTTTGCCCCATTTTACGATTTTTCTTGCCACATTTGTTAAGTGAATCACTGCAGTTGTTTAATTAGTAACACAGTTGTTAAATGAATCTGGTTTTCCCATTAACTTTGTCAGAAGATTACAAAATGTTAGCACCTGATCCTGGGATACTACAACCTTCATTAATGTGAGCCAATTGTTAAGCATTCAAATGTAAATCATGTGACTATGGGAATGCTGCAATGGTCATAAGTGTGAAAAATGGTCACAAGTCACTTTTTTCAGTGCCCTTGTAACTTTGAACAGTCATTAAATGAAGTTGAGGATTACCTGTATAAAGATAGGGTTTAACATAACTGCATGTACAAAAGTGTTTCATTTCTATAAAATAAAAAACTGAAACTCTCAGTAGATTCTGACCTAGGCTACAGACTAGCACTTATAGAATATGTCTATAGTGGAAACAATTTTCTATAGGAACATTTGTATCAAAGAAGATGAAAACCAGAACATTTGACATTAAGCTACCTCTATGGCAACTTTGGATCAGACAGAAGCAATATTCTGGGAATATTTCCTTTAACAATGAGGATAATTCAGTCTCAGAATGTTAAAAGCTGTATAAAATTAAGCAGTATTCTTTTTATACTTAGCTTCTCTAACTGCCTTTTTGAATCCTGATAGTAATCATATAAAGAGAATTACCAGCAGAGAAGTTCTGGTATACTCAGAAAGACTTATTTCTCTCTCTCTCTCCCTCTCCCTCCCCCCTCTCTCTTCCTTTCTTTCTTTCTCTCTCTCTCTCTCTCGGCATGATTTCAAATTTTGCCATTTTTGCCTATAGTTTAAATTTTTATGAGAACGAGTTAATATACCTGTCATACATAGCAGTTACTCAAATGGATCATTAATTATCTTTTTTCACTCACAAATTATGTAATATTCTGAGTTACACTTGGTGCTCCCATGCTTTATTGCTTACCAATTCTGTGAAATCTTCTGAAAAGTGTAAATATCTAAAGGAAACCACTAGAGACTTTTATTTCCTTTTTACCATATTTTCCCATTCTAGGCTTCAAGCCCAGCTTGTACCGAATTGGAAACAGTAATGCTGGATTGGCTAGGAAAGATGATCAATTTGCCTCCACAATTTCTGGCTGGGAAGGATGGAGAAGGAGGTGGGGTAATCCAGGTAATTTAGAATATTTGCTACTGAATTTGATTTGTATTCTATTTAAAATGGATAGAACATTATACTGTAAACATTGTCATATTATTTCTTTTAAAAGATAATAGTGTCATTTTTTTCTATTTCTGATTCAGTTCTCTGAATATTTCAGAATTCTGTCCAAAACAGAATCATTACACAAAGTGGAAAAAAGCTAAAGATATCTGGGGAATTTTGCAGTGATGGAAAAAACATTATCTAAAAAAATATTAAAGGGAATGCTTAGATACAGTAAGTCCAGAGGCCATTTCAGGGGAAATGACATCCAGGTCAGATAGATATTGGAATAAAGTAGGTAGAAAAGGAAAATAAAAGACATATCTGGGAACATAAATAGGAATATTTTAAGGATAAAATCTTTAAAAACTTTATTTCATATAGTTCTCTGGATTGCAGAGTGTGTGTAAATTAGGAATGGGGGAACTATGACTGAGCCATGGTTTTTAAGTTCCCTCATCAGTTGTTATTCTGGCTTGATTAACAAGAAGTATAATTTGGCAACATATGGAGGGCCATAAATTCTACACTACTACATCAGTGTTAAATAAACTTCTGTTTATTGAAATCAGTGGGATAAAATTCTGTGTTAGATTATGACTTAATTCTTAAATTCTTCTAAATTTAGCAACTCAATTCAATAGCCTGCTAAATCATCATTAAGGAAGTAGGTCGGTATCCACTGTTTAAAATGAATTTGTGGAAGTTTGTATTAGGATAATTTTTTTCTATTTAATCATGTCTGATTATTAGAGTCTGCCTGGAGGAGTCCCTGCAGTCTTCTTGGCAATATTTTTCAAAAATGTTTTGCCATTGCCTCCTTCTTAGAGCTGAAAGAAAGTAACTGGCCCAAGATCACCCAGCTGGTTTTGTGCCTAAGACAAGAGTAGAACTCAACATCCTCAGTTTCAAACTGATGCTTAACCACTATACCAAATTGGCTGTGTATTATCTGGCAAGGTGTAAATTGTCATGCCATAATTATGACTATCCCTGTATCTTCAGAATGAGATGCCACTGCATCTCAAGACTCAGACACTGATGAATAATGAAATCAGATAAATATATAAAACCAAGTTTCAAATTCTGGATTTGCTTGCCTCTAGGTCTGGTATGGATTCTGATTTTAGTATTTCTATTTGATTTGTTTATATTGATCATTGGAGAATAAATGCACACATTTGATTTTTCTGTGACTGATTACTGCATGTTTGATAACTATGAACTGACTGATTGTTCTTTAATTTCCCATTCACATATACAAGTTATCTTTTGAAGTTTCAGTTAAAGGATTGTGCATATATAGATGAGTCCTAGAACTTATTGTTACCAAATTCATTGCATGCAAATGTGACATTCTTATGAGGATAATGCCCAGTAGAAAAATAGCAATCTCATTATAGATTCCTTCTTTGTGAATTTGATAACTAAGCTTGTGCTTCTTTGTACTTTTTCATGCCAGCTGAAGTTTCAGAGTTTTGTATTTTAACAAAGTTATAATGAGCTTTGCCAGACCTTGAATCTTTTGCTAAAATATTGAGCCCGAATAATTTTTTCTCTAGCTTTACATTATAGTGCCATGTATTTATATGTTATATTTATAAAATCTTGCAATAGTGTGTTTTGTGCTGATGATATAGGACATTTATGTCTGTTTATTAACTCATTTTTGGTGACAACACATGATTGCCAGTAATTGTGGATGCTGTTTTTATTGTTTAACTTTAGGACAGAAGGAAATGGTTTAAGGCCTCTCCTGCTATTACCAGAGAGGAAGCAATTTGTGCAGATGGTTTTCTTTTTGCCCAGTCATAATAACAGTGATAGAAACAGGAAAGGGCATGTGAAACATGGGTTTTATATTCAACTGCCAATCTTTCCTAGATTTAAAACCAAATGAATATTTGCACTATTCACTTATGAAAATTGGTGCTTAATTGCAGCTGAAAGGACAAATCAATATGAAATCATTGCCTGCTACTTTAAATGCGCCACTTAAAACAATTAAAGATGAAAGAAAATGTCTGCTGGGGACTTTATTCAGGAATAAATAAGCCGACTCTTGAGTCTGTTCACCATAGTAACCTCTATTTGTACAGAAAAATGAAATTGACTGTGCACTTAGTATTTGTGTCATTTTAAAAAGCGAAGTTTCTCATCAGAGCCTTCAGCTGATTATTTTCACTGTGTCATTTTATTAGAGGTGCATCCATCCATATTTAAGAATGCAAACCCTGTTAATTTTAGAATGTTTTAGAAAGATGAAATCAGCTGGATTCCGCCTTTAATTTAAAAAAGGTCTCTGTATAATATTGCCTCTGCCTCTTTGCTGTTTTTTTCTGGACTAAGATCACTTTCACCTAAATGCATTTATAGCCTCTTGCCATCTAAATTAAGCATGGATGACATACTGTATTGTATACATTTGTGTCAGGAAGAAGGAATTCTTACCCTGATTAGACCAGCAAGATGATCTGATTTTGGATCAAGCTCAATACCATCAATTGTACTATATAAGCAAAACCAATGCAATTAATTTATTAATTTAGGACAATTTTTACTGGATTCTTTTGTCCAACTTGTCCAATTTTCCATCATAGGGAACTGCCAGTGAAGCTACCTTGGTTGCCCTGCTGGCAGCTCGAACCAAAGCAATCCATCATGTTCAGTTAGACAATGAAAATCTGACTCAGGGAGAAATCATTGGTCGACTGATAGCTTATACTTCTGATCAAGTGAGTACATTATTTCTTGCATTATTGTAGATATGGAAATAAAACTATACATAGTACTCATATAGCATAGTTTATAATTTCATTAAGATGTCATGCCTTTCATTCTTAGGTTGATTTTTTTATCATTCTCAATAATACCTGACAGACAAGCAATACATATTAATAAACAAAGATGCTAAAATGAGTTGGTTTATTTTGAAAACAGTGCAGGCTGAATTGTGTCCTGAATCAATATTGAGGAATTGTGGCATTTACAGCTGATCCTTGGTGAGCCTTGGAGGCAAAGAGCAGCAAGGAACAATATCTCGCTGCTTTGAAAACATTTGTTTGGGCTGATTTGGATTCTGGAGCTGTTTCTGTCTTTTCCACCCCCAAATTCTAATTTTCTGTAATCCACAGACTACCTGTGTTATACCATTTATGTCATTTTTTTATAAGATGACTAAATTGCTTACATCCACATCCTCCTCCTTCTCCTCTTCCTCCTTTTTTGTATTTGAACTTGAGAGTATAGATATATATTTTATATTTTACTGTAATTTTGGATATGACATAATAAATTGTTATTCCTGACATTGCAAAGAGGTAATATTCATGCAATCATTTTCTTCAAGTCAGTTCTAACACCTGGTGACTACAGCAATAAATCCATTCAGTTTTAGAAGCAACTTGCCTCATTGCTAGGGCTTAGAAAAAAATAGTGTCCAAGGACATCCAACTGGCTTTCAGCTGAAGGCAGGATTAGAACTCACTATCCCAGCTTCTGATTGGGTCTAATTCTGTTAGCAATGGCCAAATATAGCCTTCCTCCACCTGGGACCCTGCAATTGTCAGAATACCTCAGCTAGCAGGTCCCAGTCAAGAGAACTTATTTTTCTTTTGACATTTTATTGGAACTGATTCATCTATATAGGCACTAGGGCCTGTTAACTCCAATGAGAATAGTTTCAGGAAGTGAAATCAAAGTAAATCACAACAGTTCACTTTAGTTGAATTGTGTCTTCAATTTTTTAAAAGATTTGTCATGTTACAGTAATTTATGCTATGCTTTGATGGATTTAAATATTTTTGTAATATTTCAGTATTATTGTCAACACTGCTAATATTGAATATTCTTGCTTTGACAAAATATGCAGAACTGTCTGGTACTTTCAGAGTTAATTCAGATGATGCTGGGAGGGGGAAGAAAGAATGTGAGAGAGTAATTGCACGGGCTTCAGAAGGAAGTGAACCTTTGCCCCCCCAGGCTGGTTGGACAATGTGAATTATGACAGCAAAAGAGGGAGGGAAAATGCTAGCAAAATAACTGCTCTGGGGTGGAGATTTCAGATCTTGGCATCCACCCATGCTGTGCCGGCACTCTGTTATACTGTAATAAAGGCTTTTTAGGATAAACAATGCCTGGAAGTTCTTTGAAGTGTTTCATTAGTCGGAACCTTGACAATTATTGTTCTATCTATGTTGCCTCATTAATTTGGAAATTGATGGCATATTAAAAAGTAAATAAATCATGCCAAGGTCTACAAACTTTTCAAACCATTTAGGGGTCCCGGGCCCCAGTCACTATTCCTAAACTAAAGGAATAGGCTGATGAAGATTCGGGGAAGATCTCATTATGGAAGAAGAAAGATTGCCTGAGGCCAGCACCCCAGCAGCAGCAGCTTCCACGGGGGGGGGAGCAATGGCCGGCAAGCTGGGGGGGGGGAAGAACCCTGGCAGATCTCTCAGCTGGGAGCAAAGACTTCAAAAGCAGAATGGTGGAGAGCTAACGAATCGCCTGCCAGTCAAGTTTTGGGTGAGTCACTGGAAAGATTTCAAAACCCAGAGGTGAAAAGCAGAAATCAATTCCTGCAGAGAGGAGCCTACAGCCCTTCCATTGCAGATCAGAAAGCTTTTCAGATCCTGTCTTCCCCTGCCAGGGAGTCCAGCCCTGAAGAGAGAGGGAATCCCAGTCTGAGGCCTCTGCAGCAATGGGGAGATTGGATTCCCCAGCAGGTAGATGGTCAACGACCTCTGAGCTTGCCGCAACTAATAGAGGCCTTGCAACAGCTTGGGATGGTGCAGAAGCCAGGAGATCAGCAGCTGGTGGGAGAACGACCACAGCAAGGAGATTGTCCACAGCCCCCCGAACGTGCAATCCCTGGGCATAAATCTGCAGCCAGGATGGGGCCAGCAGCAACAGCCACAGTGGGGGCCCCAACAGCCTATAATTGCACCACTTTTCAGAGCAACCTTCAGTGGGGACCCAGAGAAGCTGGTTTTTTTCCTCAATCAAGTGCATTCTCATTTGAATTGCTGAGCCTATCTCTACCCGGAGAGAGGCCATGGTCGATGTGATTGTGTCCAGCCTAGAGGGAGAAACATCCGAATGGCTGAACAATTTATATAATGAGCAAGCCCCCAAATTGGAGGACCCCATCTCTTCCTCCTAGGGCTGAGAGAAAGATTTGAGGACCCATCTATTGGTCTCAAAGCAAGAGAACAAATCCACAAAATAAAAGAAGCTGGCAGCCTGCCCTGGAGTATGTGCGAGAATTTCACACGATAGCAGGTCGAATAGAGGGGTGGCCTGAACAATCCCTAATCCATCACTTTATTGAGGGATTAGATGATCACCTCTCTCAGGCCTGCATCTATTGAGCAGTACCTGGTCAGCTGCAAGAATGGTACCAGGCAGCAATGAAGCTAGACGTTCAGCATGCCCGCTATAAGAAACCTCCGCCACCTGAATCCGAGCAGCAACCAGAGCAACCCAAACAGCAATCAACCCCACGAAAACCTCCAACTACTGCGATGGCTGACAGACCCAGGCCACCTACAGGCCCATCAATCAAGTGTTTCCGGTATGAACAGGAGGGACATCGAGCAGCAAACTGTCCAGTCCCCTACCCCCGACTACAGAGCAGACTGGAACCAGCGATGAGAAGGAAACCTGCCCAGCGACTAACGAGAGAAAAATCCAACCAGGTCATGCAAGAACCTATTGCTCAGATTACACACAGGAGGACGCCGGGACCCCGGGTTGACCCGCCCCTGCTCTACCCGGGTTGACCCGCCCCTGCTCTACCCTCCTTTGACAGTGATGATGAAGGAGAGAATGACCTGATAGTGAGTCGACAAGTCCCACCTTTTTCACTGCCTGCCAAATTTATAATCCCTAAGTCTGGGGCACAAATGGACTTAAACGTGCTAGTCGATTCTGGATGCACCCGATGCATCATTAGTCTGCCATTTGCCATGAAAATGGGCATACGGGCAAAACAGCTCTCCAAACATGTGAGGTTTGAGCAAACCAATGGCTCCCTGATGGGAGGGACTCTTGTCACGCAATTAACTGAGCCCCTATGCCTAGAAATAGGTGAGCACTGGGAGTTTATTCGTTTCCTGGTGGCTCCAAAAATGACTGATCCTAGGGCTAGCCTAGTTGGACAAATGGAAGCCGTTTTTCTGGTGGGAGAAAGGAATGAGAACTGTGAGACTACCTATAGGGCCTAAACCTCCCGCTGATTCAACCGACATTGCGGGACACCTTAGGCCACCCAAAAAAATTTACTGAAAGCGAGCAGAGATGGGCAATCTGGAAGAAAGAGGCCTTTGCAATTATGTGGGCACTGTTAAACTGGCAACACTATCTAGAAGGGAGCAAGGTACCTTTTGAAGTATGGACAGATCACAAAAACCTAGAGGCACTGAAAACTCCCCGCAAATTGTCCCTAAAGCAAGTACAGTGGGCACAGTACTTTAACCATTTCAACTTCACTCTAAAGTACATACCAGGAGGAAAAAACTTCCTAGCTGAGGCGCTATCGAGATTGCCCCAGTACAAAAGCGAATGCGAAGAGGTTAATGAGGCAATTATCTCCAGTCCACAAACTGCCGCTCAATTCATGCCTCACAGAGTCCCTAATCCTGACGACCCTTGGGTAAAGAAAATAAAACAAGAGCTCCTCACCGATCAATGGTTCAAAGATAATCAAACCTCCCTAACATGCAGGGATGGCTTGGCCTACAAAGGGGGGAAACTATATTTGCCTGAAGTCCTCCATCTTAATGCTCTCAAACACAGCCATGATGTAAAACAGGCTGGACACTTTGGATATTTAAAAACTCTCCACCTCACCCGCTGGAAATTTTGGTTGCCGGGGCTGAAACGGGATGTGGAAAACTATGTAAAAAGTTGTACTGTATGTGCCACAATGAAAAGAATCCCAGGGAAAACCCCTGGATTACTGCAGCCAGTGGCAGACCCTTCTCAACCATGGGAAGAAATAGCTATGGACTTTATAGTAGACCTACCTGAAAGTAGAGGAAATACTGACATATGGACTGTGATAGACCTGTTCTCAAAGCAGGCTCATTTCATTGCCTGCAAAGGACTCCCATCTGCCCAACGACTGACCAGATTGTTCCTGAAACATATCTACCGGCTGCATGGGGCCCTTAAGGGAATAATTTCAGACAGGGGGTGGAATTCACAGCGAAGTTTTGGAGGAGTTTTCTTAAATTAATTGGATCATCTCAAGGCTTATCATCTGCTTTTCATCTGGCCACCAATGGGGCTGCAAAATCCGCTAACAAAATGGTGGAGCAATATCTTAGATGCTACATTTCCTACCAACAAACAAACTGGTCTGACCTCCTCCATTTCGCGGAGGTGGCATACAATAATTCTGTGCACAGCAGCACCGGCTACATGCCTTTCAGAGTGGCCACAGGAAAAGAGTTCAGCTCAATACCTGAATACCCCCAGGTGCCCTCCGCTTCCCAGACACTTGACCAATGGGTGAGGGGATGGGAAGAAGTTTGGAGAAATACAAAAACTGCTTTAAAAAAGACCTTTGAAACCTATAAAAAGCAGGCTGATAAAAAGAGGGCTCCCCAAAGAACATTCCAAGTTGGGGAAAAGGTTTATCTGTCAACTAAATATTTACGCCTCAAATTGCCCAGCAAGAAAATGGGACCAAAATTCTTGGGGCCTTTCCCCATTGTAAGGATCATCA